CCATGTGGTGTCCAGGGGCCCTCAGCCAGAAGGTGTATTATGTTTATCGGTAACATTATTGGCCACACCAGCCAAAAAAAGGCTGATAGTCAATAATGTTAATTTTCCTTTTATCGGTGCCAATCTGATATGGCACCAATATATAATCGGTACACCTTTACATTTAAACACTTTTTTCAAAAAGTCTTTGAGTTGTTGCTGGCAATATTAATCCCCTCAGGCATCCTGAGCATTTTTCTTCAAACCCCTCCTTCCTCACACTTGCTATTACTAGTTGAGAATGAAGAGAGGCTGATAAAAGTAGTAAATGATAAGGATAGCAACCACACTACATTTGCAACCCTTCCTATTGGCCAAGATGGGCAGATATCGGAGTTGGTAATACAACCTTGGTCATCTTATACTGCTTCAAATTAAACTATGGCAATCAAGAAAACTGGGGGAGGATTGAAGAAGAATAGATTAAAAAAAACAGAACAAGAGATGAAAGGGATCAAATAATCAAGTCGGAATGATGGCACAGTGAATTTCTGCAGCCAACATAAACTGAAATATTATTTAAAGCAAAGAAGTTCTAAAAGAATGAAACAAGACCACGGTGCCCATCTGTGCAATTACGATAACTCTATCCATAATTGCACCACCTGCCTGGGATGTTTGACCTTTGCTCTCTTAACAACACTCAGACAGCATATTAAGAAAGTCTTGGTGTGCAATAAATAAGGTGAGCTCCAGTTTTAAGTCCTCATAAAGCATTTTCAGCTAAATAAAGGTAATCTCTGGAAACATCTGAGACTAACAGTCGTCTAGCACTAATCTCTGTAGAGGCCACATTATTACCAACAAAGATCACAAGAGGCAAGTCAGCCTGTAAAAGTGGAGATGGTTTTCAACTCTGATGTAGCCAGAATGTCCATTAGGTCTTATAAAACTAAGGGAAGTAAGAGGATTTAATAACTTAGCAACTCAGGGAAAGAATTCTCTCTGCAGAACCTAAGTCAAGTTCCTCCCTACTTCACTTGTTTCCCTCTGGCTAACATCCTTAATAGAAGCTATTATGATTTTGAAGTCAATCCTGGTAAGGAACAGGTAAAGGAAACAGAGCAGGAAAAACACGAGGGGGGAGGGAAACAGTGAAAGTCAGCTAAAATATCAATTATACAACAGTTGCAGGGCAGGAACAATCTTGAACCCCTCCTTAAGTAGACCTGGGAAGACTGACCATTCTGTTGCATCCAAACTCAAGTTTCACTCTCAGGCTTCCATCCCTGGGTGAGCTGTCCCATTGTGCCCTTCTTCGGCAATCCCTCACTGTCGAGGATGATTGTCTTATCTGTATGTCCGAAGATGGCTGATGAGGCCTATCTGGGATCAAGAGACTACTGCAGCTTGGAGGTGCGTTTCCATGTGGGGTGGGTGGCACTGGATTCTTGATTTAGTCCACAATGCATTGTTTCTGCTTCTCCCACTTTTCCATCTCCTGCTGTTGTCGTGAGGTTTCAAAGTACAGAGATCCCTGCAGCAGACTCTTCCTCCATTTGGGGCAGCCCTGGGCAATAGTCTTCTATAAGTGGACATTGATGTGCGTTTTCTTAAGTTGGTGTTGAGGATACCCCTGAAACGCCTTCTCTGCCTTCCTCTTGATTGCATGCATTGGCTGAGCTAGAAGAATATAAAACTTGCTTTGGGAGTCTGAAATAAGACATCCAGATGACATGGCCAATCCAACAAAGTTGATGTTGGATGATCATCGCCTCAATACTCATGGTGTTTGCTTACAGTAGGATGCTAACGGTGGTGCACCTGTCTTCCCACTGGATTCAGAGAATCTTCCGCAGACAGTGTTGATGGTACTTCTTGAACAACTTTAGATTTCTCCTATATACTCTCCATGTCTTGGCTCCATACAGCAACGTGGAGATCACAACTGCTTGATAAACCAGCTTGGTTTCAGATCTAATGTAATGATTTTCAAGCACCACTTCTTCAGATGTCCAAAGGCTACACTTGCACATTTGAGGCGAAGTTGGATTTCTTCATCCATATCAACCTTCTGTGAGAGATGGCTTCCAAGGTACAGGAATTACTCAACTTTTTCATTTCACTGTGGATCTGAATTACTGGAACTGAGAACTGTTCATTAGGAACTTGTTGATGGAGGACCTTCATCTTCTGAATGTTAAGTGCCAGTCCCGTTTTCTTGTATGCCTCGGTAAAAACGTCAATGGGTGGTTGAAGGTCTGCTTCTGAGTAAGAACACACTACAAAATCATCAGCATATTGGAGCTCAATGATTGAGGTCTGAGTGTTCTTGGTTTTGACTCAGAGTTGCCTGAGGTTAAACAGCTTACCATCCACTCGGTAGTTTAGCTTTGCTCTGACTAGAAGCTTGTTAGCGGTCAGATGTAGCATCATGGTAAAAAATATTAAGGAGAGTGTTGAAGCAATGATGCAGCCTTGCATAACTCCCATTTTAACCTCAAAGAGATCTGTGATAGATCCATTAGTGAGAACCACCGCTCACATACCATCATGGAGCAGGCAGAGAATGGTGACAAATTTCAGCAGGCCTCCATACTTCAGATCCTCCGCAAGCTTCTTGGCTGACAGAGTCAAAAGCTTTTGTGAGGCCAAAGAAGGCCATGTAGAGAGGCTTATGTGGTTCCTGGCATTCCTCCTGCAGCTGGCAAGCTCTGATCATCATGTCATTTGTGCCTCTTGATGCCCTAAACCCAAACTGCGATTCTGGAAGGAGCTCTTCAGCAAGTGGAAGGAGATGGTGGAAGAGGGTTCTCGCAAATATCTTTTCTGGGGTGGTCACCCAGGTGATTCCTCCTCTGCAGTTTCCACAGCCAGACTTGTCTCTTTTCTTGAAGACTGTCACAATCATAGCATCTGGGATTTCCACATCATTCCAGATCCTTAATGCAAGCTCCTCTCCTACCTGTTTGAGGATTTCAACGGGGATTCCATCAGCTCCAGATGTCTTGTTCTTCATCTGCTTAATGGCTTACCCCATGTCAACAAGGGTTGGAGGGATTCCAATATCATCTCTGACTGCATGTTGCAGGATGGAGTTGAGAACACTCGTCAACAGCAAAATCTCTTCTGAGGTCTTCAAAATGCTCCTTCCAAGGCATTGATAGCTCCCCTTGCCATGATCAGGTCTCCTCCTCCCTTATGTCTCAAGAGGGTTAGTCCTTAAGTGCTCAGAACATAGACGGCTTTGGTGGCACTGAAGAAACCGCACATATCATGGATGTCAGCAAGATGTTGAGTCTCCTTCGCCTTATCTTCCCACCATTTGATCTTCATATCGCAAGTCCTCCTTTGGACCTCTGCCTTGGTTTGTTGGAGATTCAATTTCTTTTGCTTGGAGTTGGTATCATTTTGCCAAGCACAAAAGGCCTTCTGCTTGCCTTGGATCTCCTGGTTGTTCTCATCAAACCAGTCTTGATTTTTCCTGGCAGAGAATCCAAGCATCTCTTCACAAGCACTGATTATAGTAGCCTCCACATGGTGCTGATAAAAAGATGCTTCTTCCACATTGGTCTGAAGGCACAATGTATGCAAGCATTGTGCCTCAAGACTAATGTGGAAGAAGCATCTTTTTATCAATCATCCCTAAGACTACTGCCTTTTGAAAGGGATTCAAAGAGCAGAACAGCAAGTGCAAATCATCTCAACCAAAATGGAAATACTTGTGTATAATGGTGAATTGGAGCAAAGAGAAACAACAAATATAAGGAATTGCACACAGAGTCCATAGGGGACATCCTATGTGAATCTGAACTACTGCATTTAACATCTGTACAACAATCAAAGCCATCAGCAGCCTTAAGATCTAACTGAGTTCAAAGGTCTGCTAAGTACCAACCCTACTCTACCAACTGTCTCTAGCACCATGTCATACATACAACCACTGAAAAATTCAACATTTCAGTGCAACTGAAACCCTGAATACCACCTCTCATTTGGCACCTACAAGAAATACATTCAAGATCAACAATGAAAAGTCAAACCTCCTTTTTACAAAACTCACAAAAGAAAACTCATCATCTTTTACATGAGTAAAACAAACCAGTGATGTAGCCTTTTATCATTATTTACACTACTGAAGAGGCATAAAACAGAACAGTAAAAGATGCCCTTCCAATCTTAAGAAAAAGTTCACTGCAAGCACACACCTTAAATCCAGAAAAAGTATCCACAGTACTGTAGCTACGGGTGTGCTGATCCGCACCTCCACTTTCATATGCTAGTAAATTGGTGACTGATGTGACTTCTTTGGCTGAGGCCTGATCTGCATGCACAGGGTTAATCAGCTCGGAAGCTATTCTTAGCTAGCTTAGAAATCTTTTTGTTCGTACATTAAATCCATAATGGAAGAATAACATGAAATATTAAATGCTAGTCAGATCAATATTTTTTATTATTTATGTATTTTAACCCCTGTTTCAGGATGTCGCTGTGGGGGCTTTAAGAGTGGGAGCAAGGGGGAAGAGGGGGCAGGGAGTAACAAGAGGCAAGATTACCACACAATACAGACCTTAAAACCAAAGTACAAGGGGAAGTTACTAGTGGAAGTTACTATAGGAGTACCCTCAGATATGGGAACAGTCTGGAAGCCTGGACGAAAACAAAATAAGAATTTAAATTATAATCCCAGCTCTGATACAGATTCCACCGGTTGCTTGGGCAAGTTACTTAACCTCACTCCATTAGTTCCTAAGAGACAACACTTACTTAATTCATATGACTGTTGGGCAGATTCAACTGCTTTAAAAATCAAAGCAGTAGGTAATAAGCTGCATTTCACTGTGAAATATGATTTATTTGACTTCCACAAGGAGTTTATTTCTAGTCACACTTTGATACAGAGCTTACACATCTCATGCCAGAGAGCAATGATATCTGCATATTTAAATAGTTCGTGAGGTGACCCTGGACTTCTAATTTTCAGGCCAAGTTACTTAAGTCTTAACCTAAAAGGACCATACCTTATATAATGGACGACGAACATCAATGGGACAGTTCTGTATAACTTCATCAACTACATCCGAAATGGATTCCATAAAATCTGGATTAGCAAACTAAATCAAAGTAGAAAACAGACACTCAGATTACACATTGGCAGGGCAGGGCAAAGAAGAGAAGAGACAATGCAGGTGACAGGACCCTAAAGAGTTTATTTGCATGAATATGTTGCACCTAGGGATGTGAAAGATTAAATGGTAAATAGACTTATACTATTAATGCATTAGTTAACGTTTAGTGCCAGATGCAGTCTGGCGGAGAAGGCAAGTGGCACAGTGCCCCAGGAAAGCACCAAGTCGCAACATGTGGCTCTGCTGCCCTCTCCCTGCTGTGAACTGCTGACTTAGGACGGAGAAGAAGGGGAAGAGAGGGAGGAAGGGACACATGGGTGCTAGTGTTATCAGTTAAAAGATGAACTGATAATTAGAAGAGTTGAAATGAGTAATTATTTAAAGTATATTTACATCCCTGGTTGCACCAGCATTTCTATGCTAAGAAAAAAATTAATTGGGACTGCAGGTACTTCTGCTTATGGAATACGTTATGTAGTGACCAAAATAAAATTCCTTTTGGGAAGCAAAATAACATTACCGTTGTGCTATAAAACATTCTCCTGACGTACTGAAACACAGGCTTCACAGCACTTTCCACATCCCTCCATAAATTCCTATTTGCCTGTTGTAACTCCAAATCATTCATTTCACTGTCAGAAACTGATGTACTAAAGGTTGTATATTTGGTAGTTGTGCATATATACAATGTTCTCAACCATGTACAGTTTATATATATTTTAGGAAGTACTGTAAAAAAATTGTCAAAGTTTAAGCAGAACAGTGAATGAGAATCCAAAGAAATGAAGTTACCACATCCAAGGTTGAAGCAAAATTCATATTTTAAACATATTGCAGCAAGGGGAATCAGACAATCTCCTCCCCAGAATACCTACATAACTAGCATATGGATTTGAAAGCCTAGTAAGAAGGATATTTTAATAAATCTGTAAAGTCAAGGATGGTAGGATGGTACCAGGTAAGTGAACAGAAAAAAAAATATAGTACTCATGTTTAATAAAGGAAAAGAAAAAGTGACCTGGAAAAATCACAGGCCTGTTAAATCTGGACCTAAATGGTATGCAAGGCTTTAGAATATATTTGAAGAAAAGAACTTTAACATGGAGACACAGGCAGAAGGTCGGGGCTAACAGGGCTTAGCCCCCACCAAATGCTGCTCCACTGCTCCAGTCCCACCACCACGCCCCACCACTGTCTCACTGCACCGTGTCCCTGTCACAGCGCTGTGGGAGGGAGGGACAGCCCCACACTACCCTGCACTGCACCCCCAGGCCCTCCAAATAATATTTTCTCTTGTCATTACTGCATGGAGGCAAGTGAGAAAAAATAAATTAAATGCAAGATGGGCTTACCAAAGGTAGATTGTACCAAAGAAGCAGCTGATAACTGATATTCTAGACAAGAGGACTGCCATATATCAAACCTACCACGACTTCAATAAAGCATTTGATATGATGCTCTGGGGAAAGTTATTAATCTGGAGAAGATAGGAATTAGTCCAAAACCATGAGGTGGGTAAGGAACAGTATAAAAGGGAGATTACAATTGATTGTGTTGAAAATGAAATTAGATTAGAGGGCAGTTACTACTGGAGTTCCTTAAGGACTGGTTTTGGAACTAAATTTATTTTCGTTTAGAAACTTGGCAAAAATAGTAGCCTGAAGTTGGAATCCGCTGTCAATACGGAAAAGGATCACAGAATAAAAAAGAATGATATATAACCTCGACGCCTGAGCTAGAGCTGAAATTTAACTGTACAAAGTGTGAGGTCCCACATTTAATAAGAGTTTCTGGTATAAAATGGTGGCTCAACAGCTGAAAAGGACATTAACAGAGAAAGACCTTGGTGTATTAATCATCCTGTGACAAACTATAAGCTATAAATGTAACACGGTCATTAAAAAGGCAAATGCAATACTAGAACTCATCAGGTATTTCCTATTTAGAGATAGGAAGATATTAAAATGATTAAACACAACACTGGTAAGAGCTACTCTGGAGTACTGTGTATAATTCTCGTCACACACCTTCTAAAAAATACCTTTGAAACTGGAATAGGGCTAGTAGCATGATCAGGAGAATGGAGAGCCAATTTGACATGAGACTAAGAGAGCTTGGATTGCTTGGTCTAGCACAGTGGTTTTCAACCTGTGGTCCGTGGACCCTTCGGGGGTCCACAGACTGTCTAAGGAGTCCATGAAAAATGACTATGATCAATCAAAAGTATGTGACTACCCACACTTAACAATTCAAAGGAGTCTGCACCGCCATTCAAAATTTCCAAAGAGGTCCTGCACCTCCATTTGACGTTTTCAGGGGTCTACAAATCAAAAAAGGTTGAAAGCCACTGGTTTAGCACAATATTGGCCAAGGTAGAATGCGACAGCTTTCTGTAAGCAGACTGGGAAGTAAATACCAAGAAGGAGAGGCAGGAGGAGGGGAGAGAGCTATTTAAACTAAAGGTTAACGCTGGCACAAGAATAAATAGGATATACATTTAAAGCAGACATGATAAAATTTAGACAACAAATGAGAAGGTGCAAGTCAAAAAGGTTCTAAAATAGGAACAGAACAAAGGCGGCAAGAAACACAGCCTTTTTCTAAGGTGGGGCTTGATAAAAATTTAGGAAGATTATATATGCGGTCACTTGTGACAGCAAGGGGCTTAGTACGCAGGAAGCCCTTTCTAATACCATGTTCCCACATATAAATAGGTGCAACTCTCTCAACTGAACCACTTGCTGGTTTCCATAATGATAAAAGTGATCTCCAAGGTATCACCCAATTTCTAACTTCAAGGCATCATCAGGAAGCTGCTAGACTAGTCACAGCTGGGGCTGGATTCAACTGTCCTAAAAGGTGCCAGCTACCCTATCACAGTGATATTCATCTGTAATGGGAATGGCCAAATGATGGCTTGAAAGCTGCATGCGGCTCCCAAGCATATTAAATGTGTTTCCAGAAGAAAGTAGTAGGCAACTGTCGATCCTATGGATCATGGTTCATTAGTGACAGAGGATGGATCTTTAGTGACAGAGGATGCAGAAAAGACTGAAGTATTCAAAGCCTTTTTCAGCTCACTCTTCACAGGCAAGGTCAGCTCCCAGTTTGGGGAGGAGGCGAGCAGCCTTCAGTGACAGAAGGGCAAGTTAGGTACTATTTAGAAAAGCTGAACATATACAAGTCCATGGGGCCAGACTGAATGCACCCAAAGGTACTGAGGGAGTTGGCCAATATGACTGCAGAGCCACTGGCCAGCGTCTTTGAAAACTCATGGAGATTGAGAGGGGTCCCAGATGATTGAAAAAGGGCAAATATAGTGCCCACATTTAAGAAAGGGAAAAAGGAAGATCCAGGGAACTACCAACCAGTCAGCCTCACCTCAGTCCCTGGAAAAATCATGGAGCAGATCCTCAAGAAGTCCATTTCTAGGCCCTTGGAAGTGATCAGAAACAATCAGCATGGATTCACCAAGGACAAGTCATGCCTGACCAACTTGATTCCTTCTACGATAAGATGACTGGCTCTGTGAATGAAGACAGACCAGTGGATGTGGTTTTAGCAAGGCTCGATTTTTAGCAAGGCTTTTACTTAGATCTCCCACAACGTTCTTGCAAGCAAGCTGAAGAAGTACAGATTAGATGAATGGACTGTAAGGTGGACAGAAAGCTGGCTGGATCATCAGGCTCAACAGGTAGTGATCATTGCCTCAAGGTCTAGTTGGCACCCAGTCCTGGAGCCAGTTTTGTTCAATATCTTTATCAATGACCTGGAAGATGGCACAGAGGGCACCCTCAGCAAGTCTGCAGATAACACCAAGCTACCAATCCTAGGGTTAGGATTCAGAGAGACCGAGACAAATTGTAGGATTGGACCAAAAGACATCTCATGAGGTTCAATAAAGACAAGTGCAAAGTCCTGCACTTAGGACGGAACAATCCCGTGTATCGCTTTAGGCTGGAGACTGACTGGCTGGGCAGCAGCTCTGCAGAAAAGGACCTGGGGGTCACACTGGACAGTAAGCTGAATATGAGCCAACCATGTGCCCTTGTTGCCAAGACAGCTAATGGCATACTGGGCTGCACTGGTAGGGCTGTTGCCAGCAGATCAAGGAAAGTGATTCTTCCCCTATATGCAGCACTAGTGAGGCCACATTTGGAGTACTATGTCTCCACTTTAGAAAGGATGTGTACAAATTGGAGAGAGTCCAGCAGAGGGCAACAAAAATGGTTAGGGGGCTGGAGCACATGACTTCTGGGGAGAGGCTGAGGGAACTGGGCTTTTTTAGTCTAGAGAAGAAAAGACCGGGGGTGAGGGAGGGAG